AGAAATATTTTTAAATTAAGTGAGTTCCTATATCAAGACAAAGCAAGATTCCCACAATAAAGGCAAATTTATGACAATCTGAGAATGGTTCTGTACATAAATGAGGTTTTAGATAAGAATAATGAAAAAATGCAGCTTTCTTTCTAGATTCAGAAAAGGCATTTGATAATGTAAATTGGGAATATTTGCAATATTAGAAGAGATGGACTTTGGAAACAATTCAATAGCACACATAAAATCAATATATATTGTAAAATCCAAAGGGCAAAATTATTAATGAATGGAAAATTAACAAAAGAGTATATAACTCAAAAAGACAAAAGTCAAGATTGTCCACTCTCTCTCCTACTATTTATATTAGTATTCAAAGTACTACTGTGAAAAATAAAGAGAAAATGAAAACATAAAAGGAATGAAAATCAAGAATAAGGCCTACAAACTAAGATTTGTCAATGATTTGCTAGTAATTATTGAAGCTCTCAGGAAGAATCGCAGCTATCAAAATAAACATTCTACACAAAATGTATTTCTTCCAAAATATTCCAATTATAATCAATAATATGTCGTTCCAATTGTGGAATCAATATATAGCTATATTTGTATGTCAAGGAAAAAAGCCTAGCATCAGATTTAAATTTCTCCAGGAAGTTAGGCAATGATGTAGCCTACCATAATTAGGCCTGAAAATGTATTTCTCAGCATGTACCTTACTTTGAGTTAAGGACTTCTTGACATCAAGAAACAAAGAGACTTTTAAAATTGGAAGGAAATGACTTCCAATTTGGGTGGCATGCATATCTATTGTATGAAAAGACAAAAATACATGCAGGATTTAGAAATCATTTCATCAGACGAGTAATTTTGAGAACCTGGAACAAATATAAATTTAAACTGTAACCAATAACAGCAGAAGAAGCATTTTTAATTAGAAAAAAGCAAGGAAGAAAAATAGTTGACATATAGAGATCAACTAATACAGAAAAAAGATCAATATATATTTAAAACAGTGGAAGAATTAAAATAAAAAGGATGTCCCATGCAGATATGCAGATATGCAGACATGCTGGCAACACAATCGGAGATGTCTATGGAAAACAGGCTCCTCGGCATGGAAAAATGGAACAAGAGCACCTCCCCATGGTTGGAGTTGAGGATCGCCTCCAGACGCCGGAGATGGGAAAAAGAGGAAGGCTTTTCCCTTTGTCTGTGTTGTATGTCGTTGCTCACCGTGTGTAAAAGGCATTGAATGTTTGCCTCATATGTGTATATTGTAATCCGTGCTGAGTCCCTCCAGGGAGATAAAACAGAATATAAATAAAGTGTATTACTACTACTACTATTATTATTAAAAAGAGAAGGATACCAACTACAATGGTTTAGGTGCAGACAATTAAAGAAAGATTTTAAGAGATAAAAACAACAACAGCTTTGAAAAGGACATATCAGACTTCGGGGGGGAAAACCCTCAGTATCGACGAGGAGCATCTAATAGCAAAATATATAAAATGTGGTTAAGAATGGAATGGAAACCAGAACCAGTGAAAGACTGCGTGATAAAATGGGCACGACACCTAGGACACGATATCGAATTAGAAAGATGGGAGAAGACGTAGAAGTCTGAACTAAAAGGAAACATATGTCAAGACCTAAAAGAAAAAAATTAGAATATGGTGTTTCAATGGTATTTGACACCTGAGAAGCTGGCTAAAAGCATAAAAACATGAGAAGTACATGCTAGAGGTGTTCAAGGACATCAGGGTTTTTTTCCACATGTGGTGTGCCTGCACTAAAAGAAAACAGTTTACTGCAAACAAATTTCCAATTTGACTCCGAATTGCTACATTAGGAGCCCCTGGTGACGCAATGGGTTAAACCCTTGTGCCAGCAGGATTGAAGACTGACAGGTTGGAGGTTTGAATCTGGGGAGAGCATGGATGAACTCCCTCTGTCAGCTCCAGCTCCCCATATGGGGACATGAGAGAAGCCTCCGACAAGGATGGTAAAACATCAAACATCTGGGTGCCCCTGCGCAACATCCTTGCAGACGGCCAATTCTCTCACAGCAGAAGCAACTTGCAGTTTCTCAAGTCGCTCCTAACAAGAAAAAAAAATTAGGGCTACAAAACCAACATGCTTTTTCTGCATGGCAGGGGGTTGGACTAGATGGCTGATGTGGTCTCTTCTAATTCTATTGTTCTATGACTAAGTGAAATCCACAAACACAAAATATATGAGAATTAGTGCAAGAATGTTATATGGAAAAAACTGGAAAAAGACAGGAATACCAACAGTAAAAGAGTGGATTGTAGAAGTTTCTAATTCGATAGACATGGATAAACTGCCAATGATGCTCAGGGATAAAAATCAAAACTACTACAGAAAAGGACTGGGAACCATTTCTAAATTTTATTAAAAGAGGAAAAAAGCACACAATTATGGACTGAGGGCTTTGAATAAGTCTGAAGCAGGAAAAAATGTATATTGTCGAAGGCTATCATGGCCAGAATCACTGGGTTGTTGTAGGTTTTTTCAGGCTATATGGCCATGGTCTAGAGGCATTCTCTCCAGACGTTTCGCCTGCATCTATGGCAAGCATCCTCAGAGGTAGTGAGGTCCAACCTCTGAGGATGCTTGCCATAGATGCAGGTGAAACGTCAGGAGAGAATGCCTCTAGACCCATGATGGTGAACCTACGACACGTGTCAGCACTGACACGCGTAGCCATTTTCGATGACACACGGTCGCATGCAGCCGCATACAGAGAAGATGGGGCGGCATCCCAAGAAGGACATTTCATCCTTGGCTCCTATACCAGCATTTTTCTATAATGCCGAGATATATGGCATTATAGAAAAAGCAGGTAAGATAAATAATTAGTTTTTGTATTGTCGAAGGCTTTCATGGCTGGAATCACTAAGTTCTTGTGGGTTTTTTCGGGCTATATGGCCATGTTCTAGAGGCATTTCTCCTGACGTTTCGCCTGCATCTATGGCAAGCATCCTCAGAGGTGAGGTCTGTTTGGTAACTGGGAAAAGGGTTTCAAACAGACCTCACCTCTGAGGATGCTTGCCATAGATGCAGGCGAAACGTCAGGAGAAATGCCTCTAGAACATGGCCATATAGCCCGAAAAAACCCACAAGAACTTAATTAGTTTTTGGTTTATTAAATACAGTTATATATTACAATAATATTTTTTTGTTACTAAACTATAAATATCATTAAATTATGGTTTTTTCTTGGACACCCCACCCGAGTTATGCTAGTTTTTTGGCAAGTATTGACACAAAAGATTGACCACCATTGCTCTAGACCAGGGGTTCTCAAACTAAGGCCCGGGGGCCGGATACAGCCCTCCAAGGTCATTTACCCGGCCCTCGCTCAGGGTCAACCTAAGTCTGAAACGACTTGAAAGCACACAAGAACAACAACAACACAATCTCATCAGCCAAAAGCATGCCCACACTTCCCACTGAAATACTAATAAGTTTATGTTTGTTAAAATTGTTCTTCATTTTAATTATTGTATTTTAAGTGTTTTTGCACTACAAATAAGATATGTGCAGTGTGCATAGGAATTCATTCATTTTTTTTTCAAATTATAATCCGGCCCTCCAACAGTTTGAGGGACTGTGACCTGGCCCTCTGTTTAAAAAGTTTGTGGACCCCTGCTCTAGACCATCGCCATATAGCCCGAAAAAAACTACAACAACCCAGGAAAAAAATACCTTAAAATTAGCTAAAGGGTCTAAATTTAGAGTTGTTATTTTGGAAGACATGTATTATACATGTTCAAAGTCACAACATGTCTTCTCCAGGAAACGGGAAGTCAACAGAGAAGACCAAGGGGAAGGTGGGCGGGAGGCAAAGCAATTGTATCGCATTTTGTCTTGATCAAAATATGTAATATCTGCATTGCAAGTGTGGAAAAAATTAATTAAAGGCCTTAGTTTGTGCTGCAGCATGTTATGGATGTGTGTGTGTGGGCACCAGGATTGTGGCGCAGCTGGCTGAGTGTCAGCTGCATTAAGATCACTATGACCAAAAAGGTCATGAGTTTGAAGCCAGCCCGGGTTGAAGTGGGTTTCCAACCAATTGTGTGTAGCCTGTTGTCGACCTTTGCAACCCGAAAGACAGTTGCATCTGTCAAGTAGGAAAATTAGGTACCACCTTAAAGTGTGGGGAGACTAAATTAACTGATTTATGAGGCCATAAAGAAGACTCCAGCAAAGCATTCCAGCGGGGAAGCATGTGGGGAATGCGGAAGTGCTTCATCAGCGTCGCAGATGGGACGATGTAAGCGACAGCTCCCCTGGCGGCCAGAAAAAGTTAAATAGCCTCTGTGTATGTCTGTATATGTTTGTATGTCAAAAATTGGCATTGAATGTTTGCCATATATGTGTACACTGTAATCCGCCCTGAGTCCCCTGCGGGGTGAGAAGAGTGGAATATAAAAGCTGTAAATAAATAAATAAATAGCTACCTCAGTTTGAAGCTAGCTAGTGTAGATGTGCCCTAAAAGATGATAAAGGAAGCACAAAGCAAACAAGCTTTTCCTGTCATTTGCCCCCATCGCTATATAAACTGCAAAGATTGAGAATTTAAAGTTCCTGTTTCACTTTTCTGCTAATGGCAGACATTTAGCCATCTTCTAATGACCTATAAAAGCATCTAAACCAATAGTTATTGGCATACTTTTTCACACAAGAATTCACATTATGTCAGTTAAAATAATCCTAATATGCTCACTATTTTGCAAACTGGAGGGTGTGTGTGTGTGTGTGTGGAGAATCAGTTGTACTTAATGCCAACTGGTAAGTTTACAGTAGAAACCAAAATCAAACGTAGGACTTTCCAATTCAGTCATTCTCTTAGCTGTTCTTGAACTGTTTCAGGGTAGCAAAAGTGATCATATAATCACTTTGCAAAAAGTGCCACAACAAGCTACATCAACATTCATGCACAGTGCAATAATTAATAATAATATATGCAATATACATACTGTAAGGGACACATTCATATTGCACTTCTAAGTACTTGTATGTCCCTGGACAAGGGTCAGGAAAAACATCTGGGCCTGCTACCACTGCACACTGTGTCCGGTTGCTGCACCTGAAGATTAAAGAAAAGACGCAAAGTAAACAACTAGAGTTATGAATCCAGAATTTTAAATGAAGATTCAAAGTAAATGATGACTCGAATCCTAGAGTATATCCAATGAATCATCTATTGAATGGTAAATTAAAACCCATGAATCAATGGATCTTCTCTAATTGAGACTAACCATACACATTATACAAAGATAAAAGTGAGAAAGATCAAACAGATAAATAATTCAAAGATATTAATAGCAAGAATTGCGATTTTCACTTCTTTCCCAAAGATTTTGTACTATAACATAGTATGTTAATAGAATGTAATGCTCCCTCTTCTCTTAAATGGATTACTTCATTTAAAGAAACTATAGAGTCTGGTGACACAAAATCATTGTGTCTTTGCGCAATTAAAAACAAAAAGTGACATCCTAAAAATTAACGAGTTAAATTCTGACCTAAGTTTTTGTATCCATTTCATCAGATATGTGAAGTGTTACTTCAGCAGGCACACAGTGAAGAGAGTGCTGAGAGGGTGAGGGGAAATTAATTACTATTTCTTTATTTATTTACTATATTTATATACCGTCCCTCTCAGCCCGCAGGAGACTCGGGATGGTTTACAGTTGGTACCAAGACCATAAAACACAATTTCAATACAATAAAATAACTGAATAATAATACCATAGCAAAATCAATCAAATCAATAAAACATATATCATTACTGTACTGGTATGGCTGTACCAGGAGCTCCAACTTTATTTGCTTTGTATAAAATGTTTGCTTGCAGTCCAAGGTTTCAGGGATTCTGCAGAAAGGTGGCTTCCTTTGGTTGCAGTCGTAGGGCAAGTCACCTGTCCATCATCGTTAATTTTTGGTTCTGCCCCTTGTTCAGGGCAATTGGGAAGGTTAGTCTCAGTAAGGAAAGCTAATTTAGAGGATGTGTACAAGCTTCTCCTATACAAAAGCTTCAACCCTTAAGACTTTCTGGGGGAGAACAGTCTTAAGAGCATCCAAAGATTTCCAAAGATTTCCAGGGAAACAGCCCTAAAGCTTTGAGGAATTTCGGAGGGTAAACAGTTTGGAAGACCACAGAACTCCAGCTGGAGAATCTACTGGGTCCACTCGGTGCTCGAGACGCCGTTCAACCCAGTAGCGGAGCCCACATCAGTAAGGATTAGATTACAGTCAGCCTGGGAGAAGTTAAAAAGGGGATTTTCCTTTAAAGTAAAGAAACAGTTATTGAAGACAATTGCCTGTCCCTCGTGGACAAGATTAGGAAGCCACCAGTTGCATAAAAGCCTGGAAGCATTTGTTTAACTTTATTCAAGACAAGAGAAGTTTCTGTTTGATTGTTCCTTAATAAAGGACTTTGTTATACTTCACAAGCCATCTAAGGACCATTTGTGGTGGAAAATCCTTGAGAACTTCTCTTTGGGGGGCCCTGGCTTCTCGCTGGGCTCAAGTTGCACATCCTATTTTAAAGGCAATTCTTTACAGGCCCAGCGCGTGACATAACAATTAGGGTCTCCTCGTTAAAAACATTGTCCAATCACATTGTCCATTCCATTTTCCTATGTCTGTTACACTGTATTAGCAAATGTCTGCTCGAAAAAACAAGTATTAACTCTCTTCCGAAATATTAAAAGGGAGGGGACCGATCTGATGTCCTTAGGTAGAGCGTTCCATAGCTGAGGGGCCACCACTGAGAAAGCCATGTCTCTCATCCCCGCCAACCGTGCTTGTGATGAATGCAGGACTGAGAGCAGGGTCTCCCCAGGTTCATAAGGAGAGATGTGTTCAGACAGGTAAATTGGTCCAGGACAGTTTAGGGCTTTATAGGCTAAAGCCAGCACTTTGAATTGTGCCCGGTAGCAGACCGGCAGCCAGTGGAGCTGGAGCAACAGAGGAGTTGTATGCTTCCTAAGAGCCGCTCCTGTTAGCAATCTGGCTGCCGTCCGTTAGACCAATTGAAGCTTCCAGACAGTCTTCAAAGGCAACCCCACGTAGAAGACGTTGTAGTAGTCTATACAATTGCAAACTTCTAAAATCAAAATGTTTTCATTCCTTAATTTGTTTATTTTCAAGTGAAAGTTCTTACACAATGAACACAATGGCAAGCATAGATCACATAGTTAAGAATCACTTAGCTGGAATTTCCATGAATTAGAATGACTTTAGGGTTTCCATGAATCAGAATGACTTGAAGGCACACAGCAACAAATTTGGTGGTGGCTTGGTCTTGAGTGGATAAAATTCCATTATAAAAGAACTGCTCTTAGTGGAGATGAAAGCTCCTAGACAGAGCTGTCTGAATTTTTGAACTCTATTGTGCAATCTGCTGAGGGACTGCATTTCAAAATGTGCCATTCTGCCACTCATTTAAGTGAGCCAGACTGAAAAACATGTTTAAAACTTGTAGGATAAAGGCTACATACATTCAATGCTTTCTCGCACAAACTTCTATAAGCACTTTGACTAACTTTTTATTCATGAAAGCAAATACATAAATAATGGCTTTAACCTCATTTCACTGTCATACATTATCAGCAAAAATGATCACACATTTTCTAGCTCTCAACAATTAATTAAGAAAAGTATGGAGCACTTGTAAGTGAATTCCTTGTAGTAATTTATAGGAGATCAAACATAACCATAGGGACACATTTCAAAATCATTTTGACAATAAAATAGAGAAGAGTTTTGGAAACTAGAAGAATGCAAAACTGGCTTCCAATACTGGATCTGCTCAAAATTAGTTTTGGTTTAAAAGTTTTGGTTTAAAAGCTGTGTTAGAAACAGCTGCCACAATCGAACTGAATTCTAATGAAGTTGAAATGAAGTGATTTTTTTCTGCTTTAACAAGAATAATACATTTCAGTGTGTAGAATGATTTTTTAATTAATGAGTCTCCTAAATCTTTTACTCATCTTTTACTTATATCATTTATTTTATTCATTCATTTGTTTGGTTGTAAGTCACCCCGAGTCCTTCCAGAGAAATGGGGAAGGGTATAAAGTTGATTATTATTGTTGTTGTTGTTGTTTTACTGACACAAAAACACAGTATGTCAAAGAAAATGAGATATATATACTGGATTTCGTATCACAAAATCACAAGTTGAACACTTCCCAAGCATTTAGGACTGTGACAAATGACGCACACAGATCCAAGTAAGGTGGCCTTTTGCAGTTGACAGATCATGACTTTGTCAATGTTTATTGTTTCCAAATGCCGGCTGAGATCTTTTGGCATGGCACCCAGTGCGCCAATGACCACTGGGACCACCTGTACTGGTTTATGCCAGAGACTTTGCAGTTCAATTTTGAGGTATTGATAACAGCTGAGTTTTTCCTGTTTTTATTTTCCTTAATGTTAGAAACACAAAAAGATGAGTCCACAGCAGACAAGATCATCTGCTGGCTGATGTATTGGACCACACGTCCGACACTTACAGGGGCGGCTCAACCCTTACGCAAAGTAAGCATTCGCAGTATAGTTGATTTTGCCCAGGGGCGCTCTTGGGGGAAAATAGACCTTGACATATGCGAGTTGTAGTTACTGGGATGTATAGTTCACCTACAATCAAAGAGCATTCTAAACTCCACCAATGATGGAATTGAACCAAATATGGCACACAGAACTACGAACAGAAAATATATATCAGTGATTGGTGGGGGGGGGGGGAGAGCACCAAAATACTGTTTGCTTACTGTTGAAAATTACCTAGGGCCGCCTCTGGACACTTACCAAGTGTTTATGACTGTGTGATGATGTATTATTATTATTATTATTATTATTATTATTACTACTACTACTACTACTACGACTACTACTATTTGTCTCCCAGCAGATATATGATGCACTTCACAATTACTAATTCTTTTATGTTGCGATTTCTGAGATTTGTTTCTGAAAAGCACCATCAGCTACCTATTCTTGGTTTGGTGACCTGTACTAGTTTTCTGAGAGTTTAAGTTTGGACTATAATACTGGGAGACCAGGGTTCAAATCCCCTCTCTCCAACTGTATGTGATGACAATTCTTTTGTAGATTAAGGTGACAAATAGAGTTCATTATTGACATGATGGGATCAAGAGCTGGCACCAGCAGCTATGACCCATAGGAGCAGCATCTTAGGAGCAGTCTGAAGGACTTAGTGGGCTACGTGGAAAAGAGCGCACCACCGCCAGCACTAGCCAGAGAAGAAGCCACAACAGAAGCATGAGCATGGGGCTCACTAACCAATATGTTGAGGAAGCAGTAACAATAGATGAGATGGAAGGCAAAATGGACAAAGAAGGGAGAGAGTAATGTTAATCTCACTTACTTTTGAGTAACCTGCTCTCTCCTCTGAGCCGTCCACAAGGGAAGGCCAGTAGGGATGATCACATAGGTACATATAATCAATCCCCCCTACCCCCAATTATAAAGAAACAACTGAAGAAGGGAGAGTGGCCGCAGCCAAAGCAGCAGAAACAGATTGGATGGGATTTTCTTATTTGTGAATAATCTGGCCCCTTCCTCCTCTGAAATCCCAGAAGGAAAGGCACAGTGCAAGGATTGTCGAATACACACACACACACATAATCCCCACCCCAATTCAAAGAAACATGAGAAGGATCAGAATGCAATCTTTGCTGGATTTCAGATAATAAGTTTACAAACTAGCTATTATATCCTGCTGGATTTTTTTGTCCTGTTAATCTAGAGGGAAAATCCAAATGGGGGACTTTAGATGAAGTTGGGTTTTTCGCGAAGGATGGCTTACACATCACTAATGTTGTCAGGAATGTATTTACTAAGAATCTCACAAATCTGGTCAGGAGAACTTTAAACTGAGTTATCTGGGGGAAGGAAGGCAGGAGTTTGACAGGAGAAAATATGTTGTTATAGCGAAAACTGGGCAAACAGTGCAAGGCCGCAAAAAAGGGAAGGAAAACAATTTAAGTAAGCAGCTAGGGGGTGGTCCATAGTCTTTGATGTTTCTACATTAATGCCAAAACATAGTAAATAGAA